GAAAACAAATTAAAATCTAAACGAAATCAGAATTTTTAGAAGAACTTTGGTATAAAGATCAATATGGTTAAACCTTAGGGCACAGATTTCACACCAATTTAATCCTATGTATTGACGATCAATACTAACTTAATTAAGCTTATTCTAAAGGCCAAACTCCCTTATATTCCCCTAATTTTCTCTCAAACACTTAGTGAATTAACCCTTAAACAACAACCCAAAATATCTCTAAGTTGGATTTAGAAGCTAAGAGATCATTAAGTTCTATGAAATTTACCAGAGCCTCATAGATCGCGGTAACTTATCTCTAGCGTTCGCTCAATCTATGGTTTTATCACCTTAGACAAATCAGGTTTCATCTCTCGATCTCAACCCAACCCCTGATATCATTCAACACTCGGATCCTTAAGAATTGAAAGCATTACATAAAATAATAAAACTTAGAAGCAATGCTCAATAAAAAAATTAATAAAGATAATGTCAACACATATTCATAAATCGGGCTACATCTTTAGCCCTAGAAAAGAGATTTAGTTCATAGTTGCAATAATAAAAATTATCATTCTATTCAACAACATGAGTTCAAGAAAGAAAAATATAAACACTTCTCTAATTGGTGAACGAGAGCTTCAAGAATCCTGATCTCCAAACTAGTAGCCATCCCTTTCTCTCTCTCTCCAAAAACTCCCTTAAAACTACTTAAAACCCTTATTTATAGTCCTAGGGTTTTGATCTTACCTAGGAAAAGAGTAAATGCCTTAGCCCATTCAGATTTGGATTAGGATAACGCATTAACTTAACAAGCTTGTGACCCATCGCCGCGGTGGTAAGAACAATCACTGCCATGATCGTTCTTTCTGTCCAACGAGTCCGTGATCTTCAGAATTTGGTAAAGTCATCAACATAAACTTTGTAGCTCTCTGAATAAGCTTTCCAACGCCACTAGAATTGTTGAATTCCGATTCCTACAGCTCAAGTTATGACAGAAATATCGAAGCATGCTCATCTTGAAGGATTTCACGATTTTACGTTTTATATTCGACGCGTCACAACTTTCTCGTTTCAATTCCGATTCTTGTACCATTTGTTCTTACGCGTCATGAATTCCATCTACATCATTCTTTTCCCTTCAAATATCTTTTTGAGCCTAAAAACACTCAAAATACACCCGTGATCATAAAAGGTATTTATGAAAGAATTAATTCAAATTCCACATTTTAAACACATTTTTCCATAAATAATCCAATTAAATCACTAACAAAATATAAACTTTTAAGCTCTTATCACAACCCCCAACCAGCTTTTTGCTAGTTCCTAGCAAACTAAGTGATAAAATAAGTCTCTAAGCTTGAAAATAAAACAACTAATTAAAAACCTATATCTGAACTATCCTAAATCACTTTCGTAGATTGACACGGTTGCATTTAGCATATGCAACAAGCCTTTAAACCCCTAGGCGGCCCTAGTTGGATGAGTTGTAGTCTCGTGAGGGTTTCCAGCGATGATACCCACAAACATCCAAACTAAACTTATCCTACTCTCCAAAAATAAAGATAAACATAAACATAAAAAGAACAAAAACTAACAAAAATTCTTGTCAATTCATAGAAGTGTCTCAAAAATCACATATACACAAAACAAATAGAATAATTAAAAATTATCTAAACTCACAGACAATGTAAACATCAATTTCATTTTCGTTATTGACCTAGAACATCCATACAACCACAAACCATTAGTCTACAAACTCGGATAGTTTTATGCATAACATTCATGAACAAAATTTTTGATCTTAGTATTCGAGTTATGACTTATATGTGAATCATGGAATCAAACTCCATTGGCTCACTTTTCAAACGACTCTCCACTAATGTAGAATTTCACATTACCTTGGATCAATAGGTCTTTGTAAAGGTTGTAATGTTAGGCTAGGGTATGAGTTCATGAAGGAACGAAAAGGGAAATTAACAAAAATAAAATTAAGAAACTTAATTTATTCATTCTTATTACTCACATACACAACACTTCCCTTTTTCACTCAGTAGCTTCCCAACCTTTATCGAGCTCTTTCTTTTTGACAGTAATATAAACCCATTTATAATTCCAGCTCTTCACAATGCTTTTCAATGCCCACTTTTTTTTTTTTTTATTTAAGATAATAATAATAAGAAAGTAGAAAGCATATACACAGCCCCACTGATCTTACAAGCACTCCACAAGCCCCAACCAATTTCTTCGCATAAACCTGGGTTGTGGCAAAACTACATGTCCTCACCAACATTCGTGCTAAACTTGAACAACAATTAAGTCTCTTAAGGAAAAATGAGTGAGATTGTGTTTTAGGCTCATATTCAGGGTAGGGTAAACATTAAGTTCAAAGAAAGAAAAACAGGGCTAAATTGTGTTTAAAGGCTGAAAAGGGTTAACTAGCGATGACAATAAAAAGAGTTGGCTTGAAAGGCTCAATCGGTCCAAAAACAGCCTAAATCATTTCCTAAGTGATGTGAACTCTAGGATTTCGCCTTGAGTGGTTGTCAAATGAGTTCTAGAGTTTGTTGAGATCGCAACAATGTTCATGGTGAATTCACACATAACACGTCTCTAAGTAGGTAACTAAACCACTTTCAATCCACAAATCACTAGGGGCTCAACCTAAATGCCATTAACATTCACAAACATCTGTAATTAAAGGTAAAAATTAATGTCCTCCATTAGTTCTATGTTATTGCAATCACATTCCTATCATAGACATATGACTTCATCCAAGAGAAAAAAATAAAACTCACAACATAAAACAAAAGAACAAACAAAACTGCTCTCTAAATCCAAAAAAATTCTACTCAAATTAAATTCCTTAAATTCCTACCCCCAACCATAAAGTCAACATTGTCCTCAATGTTAAGAGTAGAAACAAGAGAAAGAAAACGTTACTGCATTCCTCAAATTTGTTCTAAAAAAAAGAAAAAACACTAAACAGACCTTGTCGGCTATCATTGTTATGCAGAAAAAAATAATGGATATAAAGAGCATTATCAATAAAGATGGAATAATAGCTCACAAAGACTTAATGAACAAACAGTAACAAAATGCAAGTACATCAAAACAAAACAACAAAACAAACTACACTGACAACATTAAATAAAAACACAACTGAAATTTCAATCTACTCCTCCATATTCTCCTCAAAATCATCATCATCAGGAGCATCGCATTGCTTCTTATCTGCTGGTTACACAAAATTAGTCCATTCACACCCTGGTGATACTATCCTAGCCTGAGCAAGTTGCAATCTTTGCATCTCATATTGCACCCTCATTTGCCGATTCATCCACGTCATCTAGGCTTCTTGACGATTCTGTTGCTTTTTCAACTTTTCAATGTCTTCATTCAACTTCGACAATTGATCTCTTTGGGATAGCTTTGTCGATGAAGACGCTTTGGTCTTGGGTACTTCTACTCTGCCCCTACTGGTGAGATTTTGCATAAATTGCATTGTAAGACATACTCTTTGCGGGATTAAAACTTCTCCAGCATTCAAAGGCAGTTGAGCTTGCTTACACAATTAAGTAATCATGTGAGGGAAGTAAAAACCAGTCTTGTTATGCTTTGCCGAATGAGTAATCTCTTGAAAAATAATCTCACCCACATTCATCCTCATCTTGTGATGGATCGCATATATCAAAATCGCCCTAGATTTGCTACAGTGCTCATGTGCTTTGAGGGCATCAATCTAGAGCATACAAAATACAACGACATGCCCGAAATTGAGTCCACAAACTTACTTTCAAAATGGATGTGTTCCCCAACTGCAATAAACCATGTAGCTTTCCCCTCTATCAGAAAATTAATCGTTGCGTCATAACCCACTTCTTGTTTGTAGACGGCAGAGGCATCCTCATCTATCTCAACTTGCGGCAGCCCATAAAACTGATTTATAGTAGCTGCAGTAAATACTACCTCTTTACCTCTTACCATTGTCCGCCTGTCAATGCTATTAGGAACATTGGCATATAACTATTTTACCACAGAGGCAACAACAGGAGCAGGGGGTTCTTTGCAAAATATCTTCCAACCTAGAGCTTGAATTACATTAGTTATTCCCCCAAAATCTTCTATAAACACTAGCCCTCTTTCTTCAATAAATCCTCCTAGGTTCTTTGCAAAATTTTCATATCTTTCCTGGGCAGCCTGATTAACAAACTAGATATCACTGGAGGCCTGCCCTTTTCCTTTTTCTCTCCTATCACTTCCTGGCTTTCTTTTGGGTGCCATTATCACTGTTTCTCACTTAACCCAAACAAACAATTAAACCACTGTCAATACCCAACGAAAATCACTACACTTTCACAAAACTATAACTTTTCTTCTTCAATCAAGCAACAACCATGAAAATCACCACAGGCTCCCACGAAATTCAAATCAATCTCTCCCAATCTTCAACAACCAACAAAAAATCATCCCACACTCTCACAGAATTCAAATAAATGGATTCCAATCTTCAACAATCAAAATTACAATGCAAAATGGGTGAGACACAGTTACTTGAGCCTTATTTTGTCCAAATGTGCCTTGAATTGGTATGGATTAGCTCAATTTTTGAAAACCCCCAAATTCTCTTTTTGGAACCCTAACTTTGATTTTAACAAAAATTCCACTTGCTCCCTTTGATCTGTGAAATGTGATGTGAAATTGAGTGTGTTAGTGAGCAATGGAGTATAAATTAAAAATGGTTTGAATGAATTGTGAAGAAATGAAAAAGAATTTGGTGAAGAGAAACTGTGGAAGAGAAAAGCATGTAATGTAGATTGTGTTAAGGAAAAGAGGAGCAGGCTGATATAAACACGATATCGCATTTTGAGTTGTTCGATCGCTGCGGCAATGAACTCTGTCGCTACGGCAATCGTTCAGTTCATCATGGCTGTGCGCGAGAGCAGTGCTCGTTGCATCGATAATGTTTGTTGCTGCGGCAAGCGTGATTTGTCTTATGTTTGTGCACGAAACTAATGCTCGCTGCAACGATTATTTGTATCACCGCGGCGAGCGTGATGGTGCCGTAACTCAACGGAACCAGATTGTTCCCTGAGTGTGTTGTGCCAATAACCTAAAAAAGACAATCAAAATATCTAAATTAACAAACTAAAAATAACGCAAAAACATAACACACAAAAATTACTAAACAAAAAAAAAAAATACAAATAAAAATAAGTAAATAAAAACCAAACGAAATCAAAATCTTGGGTTGCCTCCCAAAAAGCGCTTGTTAAAGTCTTAAGCTCGACTCCTTTTTGTCGTCAATTACGATTTTGAAGAAGAATTGAAACCCCCTCGTCTTCATTCCCATTCTCAATATAAGGTTTCAACCTTTGGCCATTGACTTTGATTGTTCCCTTCATCGGGTGGTGAAGCTCTATCACCCCATGTGGAAACACACGATGAATTATGAACAGGCTAGACCATCTTGAGCGCAATTTTCCTGGGAAAAGTCGTAGTCTTGAGTTAAACAACAGCACTTTGTCGCTCTCCTTGAATTCCTTGTTCACAATATGTTTGTCGTGCCACTGCTTAGTCTTTTCTTTGTAGATTGGGACATTCTCATATGCATTATTGCGAAACTCTTCCATCTCATTAAGTTGTAGTACTCGTTTTACTCCTGCGGCTTGGAGATCAAAGTTCAGAAACTTCACTGCCCAATATGACCTGTGTTCTAACTCTACGGCAAGTGACAAGCTTTTCTATAAACCATCCTATAGGGCGACATTCCTATTGGTGTTTTGAATGTCGTCCTATACGCCCATAATGTATCATCAAGCTTGGTTTCCCAATCCTTTCGAGAGGTGCTTACTGTCTTTTCCAAGATTCGTTTCAGCTTCCTATTGGATACTTCTACTTGGCCACTGGTTTGAGGGTGATATGGGGTGGCAACTTGATGTGTAACCCCATACTTGCTTAACAATGTTGTGAATTGGCGATTTCAGAAGTAAGAACCACCATCACAAATAATGGCTTTTGGAGTGCCAAACCTTGAAAAGATATTCTTCTTCACGAACTTGATAACTATGCGAGTATCGTTTGTTGGCAACGCTGCAGCTTTCACCCACTTCGAAACATAATCTACAGCAACCAAAATAAAATGGTTAGAAAACAAGGACGGAAAAGGTCCCATATAATCTATCCCCCACACATCAAACAATTCTACTTCTAAGATATTATTTAAAGGCATGGCATTTCTCTTAGATATATTCCCAAACCATTGACACTCATCACAACTCATAACAAAATGAAAAGCATCTTTAAAAAGAGTTGGCCAAAAAAATCCTGATTGAAGAACTTTAGCAGCGGTCTTTGTCGAACCAAAATGACCACCAACAATGATAATGACGAAGAATATTCGTCATCTCTTCTTCTAGCACACATCTTCTTATCATTTGATCAACACAATGTTGTACAAAAATGGATCCTCCCAAAAGTAGTACTTTAAATTTGTAAAAAATTGCTTTCGTCTTTGGGAGTTTATTCTAGGAGGCAATACTTTCTGCACCAAATAGTTAGCAATATCTGCAAACCACGACCCTTCTTGAATAGCAAACAATTGCTTATCTGGGAAGTATTCATTGATTGGCTTTTCTTGCTCTCGAACTTCGTCATTAGACTCTAATCAGGATAAATGGTCAGCCACTTGATTTTTCGTTCCTTTCTTGTCCTTAATCTCCAAGTCAAATTCCTGTAAAAGCAATACCCATCGCAATAATCTTGGCTTGGAATCCCGTTTTGCTAGGAGGCACTTTAATGCAGCATGGTCAGTGTACACAATAACCTTGGTACCTAGCAAATAAGAACAAAATTTATCAATAGAGAATACTACTGCTAAAAATTCTTTTTCAATAGTAGCATAATTTAACTGTGGTCCCGTTCAAGTCTTGCTGGCATAATAAATCACATGCAACACCTTACCTTTTCGCCGTCCTAAAACAGCCTTAAAGTGTAGTCACTTGCATCACACATGAGTTCAAAAGGTAGTTCCTAATCGTGGGCAACAATAATAGGAGCAGAAATTAATTTTGCTTTTAAACACTTAAATGCATCCAAACACTCTTGACTAAAATTAAAAAGAACATCCTTAGCTAATAAATCATAGAGAGGTTTAGAGATTTTAGAGAAGTCTTGTATGAATATCCTATAAAAACCCGCATGCCCAAGGAAACTTCTAATAGCCTTCATTGAGTTTGGAGGTGGTAGTTTCTCAATAACTTCAATCTTTGCTCGATCCACCTCAATTCCATTTGCGGATATCCGATAACCTAACACAAGCCCATCTCGTACCATGAAATGGCATTTTTCCCAATTTAGCACCAAGTTAGTGTCAACACATCTCTGCAAAACATTAGATAAGTTAGTTAAACAATCATCAAAAGAATCTCCAAAAACAGAAAAATCGTCCATGAAAACTTCAATGGACTTCTCAGCCATATCAGAGAATATTGAGATCATGCAACGTTGAAAAGTTGCAGGAGTGTTGCACAAGTCAAAAGGCATTCTTCGATAGGCGAATGTTCCATATGGGCACGTGAAAATCGTTTTCTCTTGATGTTCTGGCGCTATAGCAATTTGATTGTAGCCTAAATATCCATCTAGGAAACAATAAAATTCATGGCCAGCTAACCTTTCCAACATTTGATCAATGAATGGCTATGGAAAATGGTCCTTACGAGTCATGGAATTCAGTTTGTAATAGTCAATACATACTCTCCATCCTGTGACTGTTCGTGTTGGAATTAGCTTGTTGTTATCATTACGGACCACTGTCATTCCTCCCTTCTTTGGCACTACTTGGATTGGACTTACCCATGCACTATCCGAAATTGGATATATAATTCCTGCATCTAAGAGCTTCAACACCTCATTCTTAACCACTTCTTGCATTGATGGATTCAATCTTCTTTGTGGTTGGACGGTAGGCTTATAACTTTCCTCCATTGGGATCTTGTGCGTGCAAATTGAAGGACTGATACCTTTTATATCCGCAATTGTCCATCCAATGGCCTTCTTGTATTTTCTCAATATGCACAGCAATTTTTCTTCCTTTACAACACTCAAAGAAACATTAATAATGACTAGAAAAAATTTACCCTCTTCTAAAAATGCATACCTTAAATGAGATGGTAGTTGCTTGAGCTCAAGTGTAGGGGCCTTTGTGATTGGTGAAGTTGACTGAGACACCACGGCTCCAATTTCTCTGATCGAATTAGTTTCCGGACGAACCAAGGGTGGTAGAGCATTTAAGTATCTTAAACACTCCCTTATCTCTTCACTATCAACTTCATCCTCCTGATCTCTAGAATTCATCAAACAATTCTCTAAAAGAAAAATGGGGTAGCTCTCTTCAAAATTCTGCCTCACTATGGTGTCGAGAACATCAATCTTAAAACATGAGTCTAATTCAGATGGACACCTCACAGATTCAAAAACATCAAATTCTACTTGCTCATCTTCTACCCTTAAGATTAATTTCCCTTGGTGGACATCAATCAGTGTTCTACCCGTGGCTAGAAAAGGTCGTCCTAAAATTAAAGGTATTTCCCTATCTTCCTCCATGTCTAACACTATGAAATCTACTGGAAAAATCAGTTTGTCTACCTTAATCAAGACGTCTTCTACCACCCCCTTAGGATATGTTATTGATCGATCAGCTAATTGGAGAGACACGATGGTTGGCTTCACCTCTCCTAATCCAAACTTCCTGTAAATGGAAAACGGCATTAAGTTTATACTTGCCCTTAAATCACATAACACTTTATCAAAATAATAACTACCAATAATACAAGGGATAGTAAAACTCCCTGGATTTCATAGTTTAGGTGGTAGTTTCTTTTGACTCAGTGCACTTCATTCCTCCGTTAGCATAACTTTCTCATGTTCCTTGAATTTTCTCTTGTGCGTGAGGATCTCCTTCAAAAATTTCGCATACTTCGGCATCTGTTCTAGCATATCAACAAAAGGGATATTAATATGTAAACTTCAAAACATGTTAATAAACGTACTGAATTGCTTATCAAGCTTCTAATTCTTCAACCGTTGTGGGTATGGAAGGGTTGCCTGGCTTGAAGGGAGTTTTTGCTCAGATGCATGCTCGCCGTAGCCACCAGATTCATCGCCGCGGCGATTAGTTGAAATTTCTGACGAATTGTGAGCAGGATCATGCTCGCCGCGGCCACCAGTATCATCGCCGCGACGATCGTCTTTATTTCTGACGAGCTTATCCACATTCTCACGATCGCTGCGATGAGGAATGTCATCGCCATGGCGATCATTCTTCTGCTCATCCTTTAAGTCTTGTTCTTGCCTCTATTTTTCACCCTCTGAATTTTCCAAAATTCGTCCACTCCTCAAGGTGATTGCATGCGCTTGTTCCTTGGGATTCTTCTCTGTATCGCTTGACAAAACTCCTTGAACTCTTCCCGCTAATATGTTGTGAATTTGCCTAATTTGAGTCTCAAGGTTCCTAATAGAGGCTGATTGATTTTGAACCAGGATGTCGGTCTTCTCAAACCTCTTGCTTGTCTCTTCAATGAACTTGGTCAACACATTCTATAAATCAGATTTTGGCTCTTGAGGTTGAAAAACAGGAGCTTGTTTTTGTTCATTGTTGTTACTCCATGAAAAGTTCGGGTGTTTCCTCTATGCTGGATTGTATGTGTTGGAATATGGATTCCCTTGCCCCCTTTGAAAATTATTGATGTAATTGGCTTGTTCAGGCTGAGCAAACGGCTTCCCTTCTTGACAATCCCTTGATGAATGATTTCCTGCGCAGAGGTCACATGTTAGAGAAGAAGATTCAATTGCATTTATTTTTAACACATTACCTAATTGCTTCTGGATGTTTGAAAGTTGAGCAATCAATGCAGTGTAACTGTCAACTTCGTGCACTCTTGCTGATTTCCTTGTTGAAGTTCTCTCTGAAGTCCTCATATAGTAATTGTTCGCCATCACCTCAGTCAGATTGTATGCTTCCTCTAGTATTTTATTGTTCAAGGCTCCCCTACTTGCAGCATCAATCATAGCTTGAATAGTTGGTAGCAACCCTTGGTAGAACGTTTGCACTTACAACCAGATTGGTAAACCATGGTGAGGGCACCTCCGTAAGAGATCCTTATACCTTTCCCATGCTTCATACAATGACTTTGAATCTTATTGGTAAAAGTTGTTAATCTCACTCCTCAGCTTGATAGACTTGGCAGGTGGAAAATATTTAGTGAGGAACGCTTGAGCTAACTCGTTCCATGTCGTGATGCTCCTAGATGATAGAGAAATCAACCAAGTCTTAGCTTTATCCCGAAGAGAGAATAGGAAAAGCCTTAGCCTAATTGCATCATCGGATACTCCATTATGCCTAAATGTGTCACATAACTCCAGAAAATTTGCGATATGCAGGTTGGGATCATCATTAGGTAACCCCGTGAATTGGACTGACTGCTGAATCATTTGAATAATTGCTGGCTTGATCTCAAAATTATTTGCTTGAACTGGTGGTTTCCTAATGCTAGAATAGCACCCATTAATAGTAGGACTAGAGTAGTCCTTCAATACTCTTTAAACCATTGTTGCTCCACCCATTACATTTCCT